GATCTTTCCTATCACTTCACTCGCTCACTATCATCAAGTTGTTTCTGACTCAGAGCAATTGTATAGGACAGAGTCCAAACGCCTTTTTGGGTTTCTGAGGTTGAAATCTTAACAGAAGCAGACTACCCATACTTCTCTCTTGGAGTAGCTAGTGGCATCAAACTGCCAATCTGTCAGTTAGCAGCCCAACCTTTAACACAATGTGCCGTGCAAGTGCCTTTCCTACCACCTAACACTACACTACCTAAATTATGGAACTAAATGGACCAGGGCAGCACCAAGATGCAGGATATACATCTATTTAATAACACTAGGAATAAAACACCAAAGTACTAAAGCGAGCCTTATACAACTCACAGAACAGAACCCAAAATTAGGAGTCTATGATCTTGCTTAGAAGATAAATAATTATAATTAAGTCAAAAATAATCTCACCAAAAGACAGGTGGAGAAATTAGTAGAGCAAAGGGTGGCCCCTTTTTGTCTCAAACACACATTCACTCACAGTTACACAGGATATAAAATTGCCTTCTCCACTGAAACCAGGGATCAGTTCTAATCCATCTAAGTCTGATAATAAGATGCCAGTGGACAGAAAACCTACCATTGAGTTAAGTCTCACTCACAACAAACCTTCAACAGGCTTCTCAAGCTGACAATCTTTTTGGGATATGACTGCCCATCTTTTTTTCCTGCAGAGAAGTTGGTGAGTTTGAATTACTGACCTTTTGGTTAGCAACTTGACATACTATGGCATACCCTATGCCAGGTTCTCAAAAATAACAAAAAGGAAACAGAAGGAAAAAAATACATGTGGAGTTCCTAAAAACTCACTTGAGATAAACAAATTCACCTCTTTAAAAAGTTGAGTGTAGCTGTTTGTATCATTTTATTCAAAGAGGTAACATGCAAAATGATTTGAGCTCAGAGGGCAGTTCTGATTTGGAAGCAAGCTCGAGAAAAAAGAGGAAGCAGGAAAATGGTATCACACAAAGCCTTTGTGGGAAGGTAGGAAACTTGAATTTACAAACTCATTGTAAGCTAGAAATGATGACTTTAATTACTATGAGAAGTTACAAGAGATAACCATCTCAGTAAAATCTTGGAAAATAAATGAAGAAAGAAAAGACTATAAAAGAAGGAAAGAAAAATCCCAGAATTAATAGGAAATGGGGTGGTGGGGCTCAGGTGGGCTTGAATACAGAGTAGTATCTATTCAGGGTAACTGTGGATCATACAAATGATACTATGAACTGCTCGTAAGGTTAGCCCAAAAAAGATGGTAACCGATTATCCACCAAGCATGGGAATATTTTCCTTCTTACCAGTAGTCAGATGAGTAGACATACTGTGTTGGGAAAAGTCTGCAGTCAGGGACCTCTTCAAATCACTGAGGTATAATGACGTCAGGACTTACAAACACCTTATTCAGGTGATGGGCTTTTCAATCACTTGCTATGCTGCTGAGAGCTGGACAGTGAATAAATATGACTCAAGAAGAATTGTTGTCTTAGAATTGTGGTGCTGGAGAAGAGTGCTGAGTATCCCACAGACTACCTTGGAGAAGGTGCAGCCAGAGTGCTCCATGGTGGCAAAGATGGCAGTTTCAACTCACATACTTTGGGCATGTTGCTAGGAGAGGCTATTCCTTGGAGAGGATCATCCTGCTCGGGAAGGTGGAGGGATGGTGAAAGAGAGAAAAACCTTCAACCAGGTATATTGACACAGTAACTGCAACAGTGGGCTCAAGTATATCATAGATTGTGAAGACGGCATAAGACAGGACAGGGTTCAGATCTGTGTTCATAGGGTCACTATTAATCATACTCATTTCAATGGCACCTCACAACCACAAAATCTTATCTCACATCTCTGATTCTGTCAGTCATCAAAAGAAACCCTCACCTCTGAGGTCTCCTGCAGCATACAATCTTCCCAGACCCTCCTCCTTCTATGTCCTCACTTCATACACATCTGCATTCAAATGAGCTCTCACCTTCCACTGCGGTATCACTCAAGTAGCCTGGTGAAAACAGCTGCTCTCATACTGCTTTGTCCTTCTACTTAGCACTTGTATTTAAAAAAGTGCATTTCTCTGTTTCATTTGTTATTTTCCCCACCAGAATGAAACTGAAATTGTTTATTGCTATATTCCCAATAATAGGCACATAAATTCCAGTTTCTCCTCAGATTATATAAATCTTTCCTCTCTTACCAATAACAGGAATATTGCTTGGTACATAATTATTAAATAGATATTAGCTGAGTGAATGGATATTGAAAAAAGTAGAATATACTTTTAAAAATGACTTTAAATATGTTTATTTAAAATACTTTTACTGGGAAATAGAAAGAGTGCTATTACATTGTGGGTATTGTTATTAATGTACTAAAATAAAACACATGAATTTTTGAGTGAAAAACCAATTTGCCTTGTAGATTAAAAAAAAAACAAACGGGTATTTTTTTTTTAAATTTTAATAATTTAATGAACATTTACAGAAAAACAGGTATTTCTATTTCATCCATTTCTAACCAGAGTTCCTGAAGATATTAAGAAAAAGAGGGTTAGTGCTGGTGGTGTTCTTGTTAGGTGCCATCAAGTCGAGTACGACTCATAGCAACTCTGTGAACAAAAGATGTGAACCCTGTTCTATCCCACACCATCCTTACACTTCCTGACATACAAGAGCCTACTGAAGCAGTCACCATGTGAATCGACCCAGTTGAGAGTCTTCCTCTGCTTCACCGACCCTCCACCCTTCCCAGTATCATGTCCCTCTCCAAGGAATAGCCCCTCCTAGCAACCTGCCCAAAGTATGTGAGGTGAAGCCTCATCACTCTTGCCTCTGAAGTCCACTCTGACTGCACCCTCTCTAAGATCTGTTTGTTCTGTTTGTTCTCTTGGCCATCCATGGGATGTTCAGTACTTTTCTCCAACACCACAGCTCAAAGGTGTCAATTCTTTTTCTGTCCTTATTCATTGTCCCGCTCTCAGATGTATAGCAAGCAATCGGAGAGACTATGGCCTGAATCAGAAACACCTCAGTCCTCAAATTGACATCATTATTCCTCAATAATTCGGATGCCACTCAAATCACAATAAACTTTTTTTTTAAAAAAAGGTAGTTCTGGGGTCGGGGGGGGGAAAAAAAAAGGTAGTTCTAATTCAACCATTCCAAACCAGAGTTCCTGAAGATAGTAAGAAAAGGGGTGAGCAGACACACAATGACAATCACAAGAAAATTTGTTGGTGTGCCATCAGGTCAACTATGATTCACTGGGCCGCTACGAACAACAGATCAGATTCTTGCCCTATCCGGCACCATCCTCAAAATCTCTGCCATATTTGAGCTTGTCCTCAAAGTTACTGTGTCAATCTATCTTGCTAAAGGCATCCCTCTCTTTCTCTGACCCTCCACTTTTCCTAACAAGATGCCTTTTTTCCAAGGACTGGCTTCTCCTAACAACTTTCCTAAAGTATGTGAGGCAAATTTTCACCATTCTTGCCTCTAAGGAGCACTCTGAATACATTTCTTCCAGGACAGATTACTTTGTTCTTTTAGCATTCCATGGCATAGTCTCCATTCTTCTTCTGCCACCCTTATTTACTGTCAACTTTCAGATGAACAGGAAGCAAGTGAAAATACCATGGCTTCCAGTCAGGTTCACCTTAGTGTTTAAACCGCAATTTAACATTCTGGAGAAAGAGATTTTCCTGATAGCAAATTTTCTCAGTGTAATAATAATAATTTTGGTATGTTCTCTCACAATTATTTAAAATACTAACCATAGTTAATAATCATTAATAAATATTTAATTAGTGGTAGTTCAATATAAATTATAAAATAAGTTGTGTTAGTTTGAAAATATTTTGAAAGAGAAAAAATTATTTGTAATACATTTACTTAAAAAATTCCTTATGACATATGTAATGATATTTCAAAAAATTTCCACAAATTTTGGGGTATTTCCAAAAATTTGCTTAAAATATAAATAATATAATCATAAACATCAAAGACTTCAAAGAATACAGAATTAAGGAAACAATTTCAGCCATCCAAAAGGTTCAGTACCTAAGTCAGTTTCAACAGTACAGACAGATACAATTATGTGTAGTATAAAATAAATTTGCTTTCTTGTTACTTAGAAAAATGGTATGACTCTTAACTGTTATGAGTGCCTTTGAAAAGTTATATATATTAAAGCAACTTGTGTTCATTAACCTTTTTTTATCCAGAAAGCTAAACACATAGCTTCCTCTATGACTTTTTTCCTCTTTAAAAATGTTCCTTTGATATTAGTTCTTCAACTATGTATTTTTTTTTTCATTTTCTTTTTCACCATTTTACCAATATGCTCATCATCAGATATTTTAGGTTTTAAATTCCCATGTCCCTCAGTCTCTGTAGTGAGGTGATTATCTGGATACTCCACCATAGCTGTCCTAGATCAAAGCAATGCTTCCCTGTCAGATCCAGTAGCTATTTCCTTCTCCACATTTCTTGAGTGCTCTGCATCACTGAATGATGAAGCCCTCAGGCTCCGACACTTGTCCTTTCTCAAGTGCTGTAACCTTGTACTGTAACTGAGGCTCACCTGTTTCTGCTTTTAGTGCCCTGCTCTTCTCTTTCTTAACACATTCACGTAAGGCAGCACCTTCAGTTTTGGACACATAAACTTACATAGTATTGTGGCTTTTGAGTAAGGATTCAAACTCTGACTCACATTCCATTGATTTTGGTTTGGTTTTTTTTAATCAACAAACATATTGATACTGGTCTATGACCCAGGATAAAACAATGAACAAATACATGGTTACTGCCTTCAATTTCAAGCAACTACAAAGAAAAACGGTTATGTCACTAGGAAAATGTAAGTAGTTTAGGAATGCAAATGAGGGGTTTTGTTCTTAAATGATAATGTTTCAAAATTAATAATCTGAGCAAAATAATTTGCAAGAAAAGAAACTGAAATGGAAAAGAAAAGATATTACTCACAGATGTAAATGCCAACAGCTCCTCTTCGGTTAATTTATGAACTGGATTATTCTTTTGTAAATTTGTACTTTAAATTAAAAGAAGAGTATGTTAATTCTAAAATGCATGTTTTACTTAACGTAATAAAAATTTTCAAAAATCACAACAGACTTTTAGCATTTGAAAGTACGTATTTTTACATGATTACAATATTATATATAGAAGTAGTTTGTCAAAGATAAATATATTGACTAACTCCTTCTGTATCACATGGAAAACATGGTTAGTATACTAAAGATCAATATAACTTCATTACCATTTTAAAAAAGAAATCTTTAATTCAACACAGAATATATACTAAGTCACTATCGTAGCAACTATTGTTTATTAAGCATGCCTTAAAATAAACATGTTGCAATGTTTACTAAACAGGAAAAAATTAAGACATCACAGTAAAAAAACAGGAGGAATTAGAACTTGGTGATCTAAGTATAACCTGAAAGAATAATTTTCAAAAAGTGAATATTCACTTATCTTTAACTCAGCAATTCTACTTCCTGGTATAATGGCTAGAGAATTCTTAAATGTGTGCATTTTCAATCAGATACCCAAATAGTCACAGTAGACTACTAGCAATCCAAATGTCTAAAAGGACATTGAATAAGTTGTGATATATTCATCCAAATGAATCCTGTAATGCAAAGTGAACTGAAGCAACATAGTAACATGAATGAATCGCAGAGTGAAAAAAAAATATCAAGAAGGAAAAAGCAAATTGTGTTAGATGTGACCTTTACAAAGCTCAAAGGTTCTAGTAATCCTAATCCACAACATAAACAGTCTTCCAAGTATCCTAAAAAATCTACAACCAGGAGAAGATAAAATAGATGAATGGGA